GCGCCTGCGCGGGGAAGAAAAACACCAGCCGCATCAAGCTGGGGCTCAAGAGCCTCGTCAGCAAGGGCACCCTGGTGCAGACCAAGGGCACCGGCGCCTCTGGCTCTTTCAAGCTGAACAAGAAGCCGGGCGAGACCAAAGAGAAGGCAACCAAGAAGAAGCCGGCAGCCAAGCCCAAGAAGCCGGCGGCCAAGAAGCCCGCGAGCGCCGCCAAGAAGCCCAAGAAGGCGGCGGCGGTGAAGAAGAGCCCCAAGAAGGCGAAGAAGCCGGCGGCCGCCGCGGCCAAGAAAGCGGCCAAGAGCCCCAAGAAGGCGGCCAAGGCTGCGAAGCCCAAGAAGGCAGCGAAGAGCCCGGCCAAGGCGAAGGCGGTGAAGCCCAAGCCTGCCAAGCCCAAGGCGACGAAGGCGGCGCCTAAGAGGAAGTAAATGATACTGGAAGAGGAAAGGAAACTTCTTTTGCAGATATACCCAACGGCTCTTTTAAGAGCCACCCACGGTGTTAAAATAAAATAGGAAGATCTGAAAAAACTGTTAAACCCCAGGCTGATACGGGGTCATTCCCTGCCGTGCTTATCCATCACTTTCCTAATTCGTGAGTAGAAACTTACGCCAGGTGAAAAAGTACGTCTTAGCCTATTTTGTCTGAACTCGTGATCTTCCCTTCCCACTTATGTCCCCCGATATCACTTACTAGTCGATGCTGTCCCTGTGGATAAGTCCTGCGATTTATTACGTGATGACATCACAATGACAAACTTATGTCACCGCTAGCCTAAGAGAGCCTGTAGCCCTGGACGACAGCAAAAAAAAAAAAAATCGCATCGAGGCGCTGAAAATCCTTCCTGCCACTTCGTACAAAGAGCTTTGACTCTTTCTCCACCCCTAAATACGGGCGGCGCCTGCGACACCGTGGGAATCTCACTGCATCCCCCGCCGGGTTTGAAACTAGCGTGCTCTTCCCTTTCCCCCCCCCCATTCCGTCCCGCCAGCCTCTAACCCCTCCTGCCCTCCCCGCCCCCCCGCACAACAACCCCCATCCGATGGCGGAAAACGCTCCTATCCCTCATGGAAACCAAAGCACGGGAGCACGACCCCCAAGCTGTCCTTCCCGTGTTCCTTTCAGCAACTGCTCGTAGAAAACGCAGCGCTGATTGGTAGCTGCTGTCTTGGCCACACTTTATCGTTTAGGTGATTTTTTAAATTAGTTTTCAGCTTAGGTCGCGTTGGGGAATGTTTGGTACCTGAACTTTTAATAGAAAGAAAAAGGAGGCGATTTACACACATCAGCTGAACACAGTTCAAGGTAAATATATATATTTACATATAAACGTTTCCGGTTACATAGAATCACCGTAACATGGTTTTCGAGGCAGCAGTAAATAATCCTACTGTTCGTAGATTCAAGTGTTCCTGCTCTTTTGGGAAAAGTGTGGGTGGCTCTGAAAAGAGCCTTTGGGTTGTTTGTTGAACCAGTCTCACTTGGCTTTGGCCTTGTGGCTGTCGGTCTTCTTGGGCAGCAGCACGGCCTGGATGTTGGGCAGCACGCCGCCCTGCGCGATGGTCACCTTGCCCAGCAGCTTGTTGAGCTCCTCGTCGTTGCGGATGGCGAGCTGCAGGTGGCGGGGGATGATGCGCGTCTTCTTGTTGTCGCGCGCCGCGTTGCCCGCCAGCTCCAGGATCTCGGCCGTCAGGTACTCCAGCACGGCCGCCATGTAGACGGGCGCGCCGGCGCCCACCCGCTCCGCGTAGTTTCCTTTCCGGGGCAAGCGA